TGGAGCCGGCCCTTCTGGGCAGGGAGTTAGGGTGCGGGAGGGCGCTCAGGGTGTGGGTGTGGGAGGAGGCTCAGGGCTGGGGCAGGCAGGAGGTGCAGAGCACTTACCTGGGGCAGCTCCTGTTTGGTGCAGGGGGTGTGCAGCGCAGCACCGCCCGCATGACCTGATTCTGGGAGCAGCCGCCCCCTGGGCAGGCAGGGCCACCTGGAACGCAGGGGCTTTAGGGGCTGCAGGGCCCTGGGCTAAGGGGGCCCTGGCTTGCAACTCTAAAGCCCCTTTCGGAATGCAGCCCTGAGTCCTCCAGGCCGTGGAGGAGCAGGGATAGCCGCGCAGCCAGCCGGCTTTGAAGGGGAAAGCACCACTTCTTGATGAGATTGAACTCCTGTTTCCATGGCCCCCAGATTTTGGATGTCTTTCACATACATTTTCCCCGAGACTCGTAAAAATCAATACTTTAACAATGCTGAGGGAGCCAGGGCTATGCTTCACATTTAGAGGCGTGTCCCATGAATATGAGGATGGGTGACAATCCTACCAGGTGCTCTCTCCGAGCATTCACCTACCACCTTTCCATGAGTGCTCCCCCTAACTATTCCCTCCTGAGTGCACACACCAGACTGCTCACCGTTAACCTGAAGTGCTCATTTAACCAATTCATCAGGTGATCACACTGAAGAGCTGAATTAAACAAGGAAGTTGTGGAACTCATCCAGACTCAGCCAACAAATGAAGATTTGCACAACTTAAGTTAGATGCCACTTATGGCAGCTGTATAGATGTTAAAAATATGATCCAGTCTCCCCTCTGGCCTCCTCAGACTCCCGATGGATTCCTTGGGCTCAGTTCCCCCTCCTTGGTGTTCAGATTTGCCAATGGACTCCTCTGGGCTTTTCAGGCTTGGAAGCCTCACCTGGCTCCTTATGTCTGGATTCCTTTCTTTGGAGATCAGATGCCCTGCTAGGCTCTGTTAGGCACCTTAGGCTTGGGTCCTTCCCGGCTGAATAAATGGAGGTACTCTCCAAAATGCCACCTATTTCTGGGGCTCCCCACCAGTGACTATTTGGTTTGGCCCAAACCTTTTTTATTTTTTTAAATTTGGAACTGCCAGTAAGCCAAAAAAAAAAAAAGTTATTCACCCAGCTCTAGACAAGATGTAATAGATGAGGCAGACAAATGGGCAGGATGAGGAAGGATGAGATAACAATATAATAGGATGCAGGGCCGGCTCCAGGCACCAGCCCACCAAGCTTGTGCTTGGGGCGGCACCTGGAGG